GAAGTTTTGAGGGGTCACGGGCACTATAGGTCGAAGTGTGGCTCTGCCGAATGCCCATTGTTGCATTCTAGGAGTTGCATCTCATGAATAGAACCAATTACACTCTTGAGAGATAATGGTCTTGCATACTCCTCACGGTTTGTATTGGTGACTCACAAATAAGCACGTGACTCATGTTTCGCGTGTTTATCTTAATGTTTTGGCGCAAAACACAATTAACTAAGTTAAACTTCCCTATTGAAGTAAGTTTTTTTTCTTTTTTGTTAATCATCAACTCGGGAAGCGCACTTACGAGCATCATATAATTTAATTTCATTATTCTTCTTCCGTGCTTTTACTTACTTAGATCTCTTTATCATATTAATTAATCAAATGAGTAGAAGTCAAAAATGAAAATTGCTAGTCGATCGATTTTAAAGTTAATTTTTAGTTAGAAAGGCAAACATTATACACTTTATGTTCACCTTTTTATTTTTATTTCTGCTTCCGTTTATATTAATCTTTTTTGTAATGTTACCATGTAGCATGTATCGTTTTATAAGCTTATTTGAAAATCCCTCAATAAAAGCTCTATGTATATATACCAACGAAGCATTTACTTTGATGTCAATCAGATTCTCATTTATTTCTATCAACCAACATTGTCACGTCCACAACCACATGTAATCACCCTCTCAAAAACTTTTCCTCTCAACCGCCGCATGTAAAGTAAAATTCAAAAAACTTTTGGATCAGTTTCTAATACCATTGTCCCTTTTCCTAATCTTGAAATAATTAACTTATTTGCTCTCCCCCCATCCATCGTCTCCAAAAATCGAGAAATTTTAAATGTTCCAGGTACAACACGTGTCTAGTGTACCATCCAATAAACATAGAACATGTGGAATTATTATCCAACTTACTGCATTTCTTCTTATGACATGTGGCAGACTGCATTGGACATATTCCATATGTCTTCCGTCTATTGGATGGTAAACCAACCACCAAAAATCAAAGAGAGACAACTCTTCGCCAACCCCACCCCCCCAACAACAACCTCCTCCTCTATAAAACCCTGCAACTTCTTTCGCTTCAATCCCATCCCACCACACAGACTCAAACATGGACCGCTTCTCAGTGTTGCCCGAGTCCCACCTCTTCACCATTGTCTCCTTCTTGCCTTTCAAAGAAGCGGCAAGAACCTCCGTTCTGTCGAAGCGTTGGCGTCACGTTTGGCGTTCGTCAAAAAACATCGAGTTCGACGAACGTTGCTTTGCCAACGTCGATGCCGATAGAGCGGTCCAAAGACAAGTGTTCATTGATTTTGTGCGGCAGTGGGTTCAAAACTACCAAGAACCCACCGTGGACAGACTTTCTCTCAAGTTTTCGCTGCCTCAAAATAACCCAAGGGTTGTCGAAAACTGCATCGCATTTGCTCTCGCCCGCCATGTCAAACACCTAGCGCTTGATTTCTCTGATCCCACATGGGATGTACACGATCTCGACGATATTGCTCATCCGACGCCGTTTGATCTGCCTCTGTCTGTTTATAACCATCCTCTCGAATCTTTGACTCTGTCTTCTTGCAACTTCAATGTGTCCGAGTTCAAGAATTTTGGGGTGCTTAAAGAAATTTCGTTGTGTTGGGTTGAAATGAAGGAAAGCACTACTAAGGCTTTGTTGGCCGACTGTGGGTGTCTTGAGAGTTTTAGCCTGAGACACTGTTGGGACATGGACAACTTCTTCTGTGTTCGAGTAGGGGAATTAATGCTGAAAACTTTGGTGGTTTATAAGTGCAGGTTTATTTGTTCTTACTTTGAATTTGAAGCACCAAATCTGCGTTGTTTGAGGTACTCTGGGACCCTGCCAAAATTTTGTTTACTCAGAAATGGAGGCTTGGATGAGGTGGATCTTGACTTTGGGCATGAGACTGATGGGAATGAGTCAGTGTCTGATCTTCTTGGTCAACTCATTGATGAAGTCAACCCCATGAGGGCATTGACTGTTTGCACCTACATGCTTCAGGTACATAAGTTTTAACACTTTCAACAAAAAATAAAAAGTGAAATAACTTGTTATTGTGGTTGGTTTTATCTTATTTCATTAATCAATAATACTATTTTGTATCACATCGATTGACTACTTTGCTTATCAATTCTCTAAAAAAGGTGTACTCCACTAATAAATGCGGAATTCAAAACCTGTATTAGATATATGGTCAATAATGTGATCAGTAAATATGGTACAAATAATGCATCTTTGTTAATGAAGCTTGAGACGGTGTTAACTAATGATCAATTGTGTTGTCTGCAGGTTCTTCCAATGGGAGAGGAAGGCATTGGTTCTCCTTTGGGCATTACACAGTTGACACTAAAAACGACGATGCATGACTATGAACAACACGGCATCCAGTACTTCTTGAAAAACTGTCCCCAACTGGAGACTCTGAAAATCGAAATAGGCAGCCATGCCCGTACCAGAATTATCAATTATGTAAGGCCCTTTATATATATATATTATTAGTAATTAATTAGACTTTAATTAACATATATACGTTCTGGTTTTGTTATGGCTCCAGACGGAATATGAAGCTCCATGTGCTGAAGTGAAACCTGAACATATGTGGAACCAGAACACGATTATTTTCTCGTGCGTAACGCAGACTCTGAGAGAGGTTGAGATGAAGGGCTTTAGGGCGTCGCCGAACGAGATCGGTCTGATGAGCTATCTGCTCTGCTATGGCCGCGTCATGGAAAAGCTTACTATTACTGTTTCAAGCCAAGCCAGCGGCCGTGGAAACCCACAGCTCTACCGAATGGTAGCTGAAAAGACGCGGGATTTAGCTAGAACGGCAGCACCAAATCTGCAGATAATGATTATTTAAATACACACAACAAGACCGCATGAGCAGATGTTGTTATTTGAATTATTATTAATTGGTGTGAACTTTTTCTTTTGTTGTTTCATAACAAAATAAATACAAATCTCAGATGATTTTTTTTGGTTTTTACTATCAACGAGAAAAAAAACACCACGGTTTACGTTGGTCACACTCACAAATCAGCATGCAAAACTCACTTTTGTATTTAAGTTTCTTATATGGATCTCAATTATGACCAAAAAAAAAAATATGGATCTCAATTTCTTTTACAGGGAATATTTTAGTTAAATTAGTTAATTAACTTTCCCAAATCAAATAAACCAAATTGCACACTTTTGTCATTTCAAAATGAACAACCTCTCGGTGTCATCTATTAATTTGGTCAATGAGACTCATTTTTAGCGTTCTTTTCTTCCCATATAGAACTTCTGATTAGGATTGGACAACTTTAAGATTTGGCAAAATTTCGACAAGATTCCCTTGCCAAGTCAAGTATAAGCTTGAGCTAGTTTCACAAACTAACAGAAGCAAATTAAATTAAGCTCATCGTGAATCAAAAGCTAGTTGGTATAATTTCAAATAATTTAATCTCACTGTTATTTTCATTTAATTTTCTATTACATCTAGGGCATGTTTACGTATCAGTAATGGAGAAAGTAAGGAATCAGAAAATTTAGGAATCGGGTAACTACTGAATCGGTATGGGAAGAATCATTCCCATTAAGCTGTTTACTAAACATATGGAATTAGCAAAGGAATGGGGTTGATTCCCATTGTTATTGTTTACTAATTTTCATGAATCAGAATCCAAATGAATTTGATTACTGAAATGCCCTGCACATTTTCACCACAGCACATATATAATTCTCAAATTGGCTAAGGAGACCAAACTAAACCGGTAGCAAACTAGTAAGAGGCCAGTTCAATGATAATGTTAATAACACCTTTGTCAAGAGCCAATTTCAAACGAAAAAAATAAACTCCAATAAATATATATCTTTCACCTACGTAACTAGTAAACAATCAAATAATAATGACATGCATAATCTTCATACTACCAAAAAAAGAGATATATAATATCCACAAAAGTCTTTATCTATGACTATACTATGTTTTGT